CAATGCTCCCTCCGCTGTTCCCAGAAACTGCGTGGAACTTGAACTTGAGTGGGCTGGCTGTGCAGCTGAGTTCATAGCTATTAACGCCTATCCATGAAAGTTTAAAAAAAAAAAAGTGGGAGAAAGAAACCGTGAAATGCACAGAGACAATGAGAGAGAGAGAGAGAGAGAGAGATAAGAGAGAGAGAGAGAGAGAGAGAGAAAGAGAGAAAGAGAAAGAGAGAGAGAGAGAGAGAGAGAGAGAGAGAGAAGAGAGAGAGAGAGAGAGAGAGAGAGAGAGAGAGAGAGAGAGAGAGAGAGAGAGAGAGAGAGAAAGAGAAAGTGAGAGGGAAAAGTAGTCTAAAAGACACGGAGTGATAGATAAGGTAGATGATAAGAAGAGAGGAAGAACGAGGTTGAAGAGCGAGATACCAAAAGGAAATAGACAGAGAATGGGAGAGAGAGAAAACCAGAGAAAGAGAGAATAGTAAAGAAGAAAACACATGAAAAAACACGATATATTTTTCCTCCTCCATTCCTCGTCTCCTTCTTTTAAAATGATATTGAAAAGATGATTCAAAATTAACGAGTCTTGTAGTTTCGCTATAAGCTGTTTTTAATTGTGCACTCATTTTATGATGGATAATCAATGGGGGCTTTGCATAACAAGTAAATACATATTCATGCCGCCAGGTTGGAAAAGGGGGCATTCCCTCTCGATCACTGGCCATAAGTATCAGAATCTTAGCCTGCAGTAGGGGAAAATGAGCCTTTGGGAAATTCACGGCCAGAGGTGAATTGCCCCACTTGCCCCCTTCATCCTCCCCCCTCCCCTCCCCCTTTCGTACCCTTCTCTACCCTTTCAATCCTTCTCTCCCTGCCCTACCCCCCCCCCCAACCGCACCCAACCGGATCTGGCGCGCCGTAACTGGCGCTCCAATCAAAGGGCATCAATTCCCTCATTTGTAATCACCTCCGTTATGGCAAGAAGGGATAAGAAGGACCCGTGTCAGGGATAACGACCGCCCTTGTTAATGGCCTTGTCGTTCGCGGAGTGATTATTCGGATTTGTTTTTGGGGTGTGGCGGGGAGGGGTGGGAGGGGTGGGTGTTGCAGCCGGGGGGGGGGGGGGCGATGGCCAGCGTTTACCACAGGCACTTTCATGGAAATATCGGTTGGTATTGTGTTGGCTAAATGAACGAGATCATTTAGGAATCACATTAGAATTCATTATGATCATTTAAAGCACACACACACATATACATACATATATATATATATATATATATATATATATATATATATATATATTATATATATATATGTATATATATATATATGTATATATATATGTATATATATATGTATATATATATATGTAAATATATATATGTATATATATATATATATATATGTAAATATATATGTAAATATATATATATATATATGTAATATATATTATATATATATATGTATGTATGTATATAATATATAATTATATATATATATATATATATATATATATATATGATGCGTGTTTTTGCATACTAATATGCGCACGTGGAGAGTGCGTTTCTGATCGTTTATTATATATTTGTTATAAGTGTCCGAGCAAGGCGAATGTATTCATCAATTCCAAAGCACAGAAATGTTGAACAATGCTATATTCCGCCCAGACAGTTGCCAGAAACTTTTTTGAGCCGATGACTCGCTAATGCCAGGCAACACCTCAGCTCAATCAGTAAATGTCTTTGAGGTGTAAATGACTCACGTTTTCAGTGTCGAAAGTTCCTAATTTTCAATTGTTGCGCAGTCCGACGTTGGCAGTCGCCCTTCTTCCCTTACAGCTGTTAGGCGGGGAGGGGTGAGCAGGAGAGGCGGTATTTCGTCAGGTTGAAATGAGAAAAGTTTCTGAAATTCAACCGTGGGGCGACATACTTATTGGCAAAGATAAAAGCTTAATTAGTCTTGAGGCGGGGATCAGCACCACATTGCCCGGAGCTTGTGAGACAGAAGGGAACAAGCGCGGTTGCCTCTGTCGCTCCTGCTGCCGCTTCTTCCGCTGCTGCTGTTGTTGTCGTTGCCGCTGCCCCAAACTTGGCTCCGACGCTTGAAGTCTTTCTCGTCTGCAGCTGGAGGTGGTTTCCTTTCTCACTGCCTTTTAGGAATATTTTCTTTTTGGCAAGTTCAGCGCAATTAGATTTCCTTTCATCAACTCTGAAGACAGAAAATTTTCCATCATCAACTTTCTCAACAGCTGGAAAGTCTCCCGCATTATCATAAAGGGTCAACTTGGTCTCTTCATGGCATTTCGCCTTTCTTGAAAATGCGGAGCTTTGTACCACAGTTGCTCGGGTATACAGGCTAAGCGGACTAGGAGGAGAAAAAGGACGAGGAGGAAAGAAAAGGAGAGGTCAAGAGGAGAGGAGGGGATGAAAGGAGATGGGAAGAGAGTCAAGAAGAGAGAAGAAAAAGAGGGGGAAGAGGAAGAAGAGGGGAAGGGTAAGGAGGAGGAGGAGGAGGAGGAGGAGGAGGGGGTGGGGGAGGAGGAGGGGAGGGGAGAAGGAGGTGGAGGAGGAGGAGGAGGAGAGGAAGAAGAAGAGGTGTTTAGGAGGGAGAGGAGGAAGAAAAGGGGGAGGAGGAGGAGGAGGAAAAGTCAGTATTTTTAATCAATGGGGGGCTTTGCATTGTAAAGAACAA